TGAGTTCTGGTGCATTGGTGCTCTGCATGTGGGCAGGGGTCATATATGCTACYGCAATGCAGGATCTAGTTTTAGGCTAAACACTGTTTGTCTTTCTTCTAAATATCTCAAAAACCACTGGATAGATTGCATTGAAATTTTCAAAAAGTAATTGCACGTCTACAACCGATTTATTGTTTAAGTCAATCCACTTCATGATACCCACCACAAATAAGCCAYACTAGTCAACACAAAAATACTTTTAACTCAATCCATTTTACAGATATTGAGTTAAAAATGTGTGTGATAGTAGCTGAGAGTCATTCATGACACAAACTCAGCATGACATCAGGTAATATTGCAAAACTTCATACACTGTATTGCCAAAAGTATTTGCTCACACATCCAAATGAGTATGCACCAGTGCACAAAGCAAKGTCCATAAAGACATGGATGTCAGAATCTGGTGTGGATGAACTTGACTGGTCTGCACAGAGTCCTGACCTCAACCTGATAGAACACCTTTGAGATGAATTAGAGCAGAGACTGAGAGCCAGGCCTTCTGTCCAACATCAGTATGTGACCTCACAAATGTGCTTCTGGAAGAATGTTCAAAATCCCCATAAACACTCCTAAACCTTGTGGACAGCCTTCCAGAAGAGCTGAAGCTGTTCTAGCTGCAAAGAGAGGACCAACGTCACATTGAACCCTATGGATTAGGAACAGGATGTTACTTAAGCTCATATGTGAGTCAAGGCAGGTAAGCGAATACTTTTGGCAGTATAGTGTATATAACATWATTTTCTACATAGAGTGATCTTAGTTTATGAATATTTGATTTTAACAAACTTGACTTACTAAAGAAAATTCTCAAGTCAGATAAAATATGTTTATGTTTGTAGTGTTTTTTTTATGACGCTTCTAAAAAAAACATCTGTCCTGTAAAGGTGTACAGTTCTGTTCCGTCTGTCAGGATTTGTGAGGCCCCTGTGGTAACAACCTTGTCATTTCAGGCCGTACGTTGTGTTCAAGCAGCCGCTCTCTCGGCTGCTTTTTATCACGGTTACGACCCACATCAGCATAATTCAGGCATGACCCTCCTCCCTCCTTTCATTTTCCACCTCTCTTCCCCGTTAAAGCCCAAGCCTCTGTCTAGAGTCCACATCATACATCATCCAGACTGGGGGTTGGTTTCGCCCATCCCCCCTCCCCGCTGTGTCGTGGGAGAGAGTTGGCTTTTTTTTTCCTCCCTCTTTTTCAAGCTAGTGGAAAGCTCTTATCAACACACTCACTGCATTGAGCTTTACCCCTGACTTAAATATCATGCACTCCAGTTTATCTGGATGGTCATGGATGGAGGTTACAGTTTCAAAGTGAAACTCTCAGGTCCACACAAACTTAATCCAAAGCTAACATCTTTTTTTACAAAAGGGGAGTAAAACAAAAGTTCCACACTAATACTGGGTGACAGACTTAAGCAGTCTGATGCAGCGCACTCTTCAGCAGTATTAGCGATTAAGCAGCTTGTTGACGGCTGACGGAACRAGCTTGCAGCAGGAGCAAAGCTCAACAGATTTTCACGCAGCAGGAGATACRCACWCCCACCCAGTGYTCTGCTCATTTTTCYCTCTCAGCTGATTATTGCAAACAGCACCTTTCACTGAGCCTACAGGTGCATCAAACATCCTAGCTAACTCCCAACGAAGGGGGGACAAGATGAAACTTGCATTCCTTCACTCTGCTTTGTCCACACTTGCTGAATAGCCTTTAGATGGGGCTTTGTGGGAGTGATTGTCAGTAGCTTAATGAGCTCCTTTGCCAAGCTAAAGGCTTTGCCAACATATGTGACTGCAGCGCTTTTGCTCGTCTCCATCGCCAGTCTGTATGAAACAACACACAGCGGACTCAGCACTCTGCATCGTTACAGAAATCAGAGCTCCTAACTCACTTTCCTGTAGTCTGGATTCTATTACCTGGAAAAGGTTTGCTGCTCCTCTCATGGGGACCGGAGCTGAGAACAGCATAAAATCTTGTAAGTACCCAGCAGTATGTGTGGATTTTTGCAAACGGCAGTGCAGTGTTTGTGAGGTTGATTTAATTTACAACAGAAGCAAAAAAAAAAAAAAAAAAAAAAAAAAGGACATATTTTAAAATCAATATGACTAAGATCTGATGAAAACATTCGATTTTTTTACCTTTTTGGTAACTGTCAAGTTAAAAGTAGCTTTTTATATATAAAAATTTTGAAATACTAAAATCAAATAGGTCTTATAAAACAACACAAGCCCATATACAGTATATATACACATACACACACATATACAT